TTTTTTTTTTAGGTCAATGCTATTTGCCATTTCTTTTATAATGCATAACGTAACAATACAGGAATTTATAAAACACAGGGTTTAACCAGATATTTTCTGTTAAGGAAATAGTTATGTGTAGACAACTTTTCTCCCCCATAAAGACAGACTCAACTCTTCAAAGTCCCACTTCTGGGAAATACCTAACACTCAGTTATAGCTATATAAATATACCCACACTGCTTGATTTTCACTTCTCTAAGTTGGATAAAATTTTTATCCAAGAAAATACCACTCCTACTAAAGGTTACTCCTAAATCCAATGATTATTTTGTTATGTGCAGCAATACTACTAGTTCCAAATTGATCCAACTTTCAAAGTGGAACGACCCTACTTGGCCCGACCCTTTAAGAACACAAGCGTTAGCTGCAGGTCACTGTACAGCCACTGGAGTCTGCTTAAAAGCAGGCTACACCAAATTCAAGACAAAGGCAGCACTGCTACAGAGCCTCAGTCACAAGATATCATCCTAGTCAGTTAAACTAATTTCCTCTTGAATGCATAGAGAGGAAGATCCTAATTTTGAGTGTTCAATGTCTTGTTTATTTTTAAAGTCACATACCACCTTCTTTGCAGCTCTTTAGCATGGCCGTGTGTGCAAAGGGCGCACGGGATGCCTTGGGCGGCGTGCGCAAAGCCAGGAGAGTTCATTGCCACCCCTCTACCTGGGCGCAGCGTGTACAACTCTCACTTAGAGCCTGGTCTCTAGGAAAAGCCAGGAACTAAGTTTTACACTGAAATGACACCTAGTGGTTCGCAATTTTAAATGAGCTTTTGTGTATTTATTTTATTAGCCCTACTACTGAATTCTCAAGTTATTCATTGCAGAACATCCAAAAGGCAACACAACAATCATTTACTATTAAAGTAACTTACTCTTCATTTAACGCACATCTACGGCTGGTGGGACAGCCGTATTTTCTGAGGCTCTGCGTCAGTTCTTTGTACAGCGTATCAGCCAGGAGATGAGGGATCCCTTCCCAGGCCAGTATGAGAATCACGATGACGGCAGTTTGACAGTGGTGTCCTGCACGCTGACGTACCAGGCACAGCAACTTTTCCTCATCACTACTTCTTCGTATCACCTGGAAGAATCATTTTGTTTATTCTTTGACAAGTGTAGGAACCGCGTAATGTGTTACTCTTCTCTGGGACATGTAAAGCCTGGAAGAGTAAGAAACGCCGCTGCCCAAAGAGCATCCACCAGCCAGCAGGACCGTGATAGCATCACACACTGATGTCTGGTGTAAAACATGATTTTGCAGTGCCTTTTTCCCTGCAGAAGAAATAGCAGTACATTTTACAGGAGGAGAAACATTTTAGGTGTTCTACACAAACAATAAAGAAGATGTATTAAAAGGAAAATAACCACTAGAAGGAAATAATAACCCTGAGACAACAGATCCACTGAGAACCTAACAGTTACCTTGAAAATAACGCAGCAAACATACTGCCAAAACCCAGAATGCAGGTACACAAACGCACATCACAAAGCACACGTATGCACGTGTTGGGATGGTTACCACAGTTACATACCAGTACTTTGTAAGGTGGGAACTATTTTACGTAAGATGAGAAGAAAGCAATGAAAATAAACTGTGTTCTTAGTGAAGGAAGCAAGGAGATTTTTCAGAACTTATCCCTAAATGACCTACATTAAAGTTCTTAGCAGAGTGCCAAAGTTTTTACTAAACTGTGTGATAGGCAAAGCAATCTTTGTCAACCTCATCCATAAAACACGAAGACGAACACAATATGGAACAGTACAATATACCGACAAATTAAGAAAAAAAAGAATAAAGCTAGACAGTCCTACTCCTGCATATTTAAGTTTTTACGGACCATCTGAAACAGAGTTGTGTTGTAAGAAAACAGGAAAAAAAAAAAGCATTAAAGCTAAGTAATACAAGAACATGATCTTTGAAAATATGTTTATCTATTCCTCAAACGTCTTTTAGCCAGCATAGCCTGTACGAGGCCTCCAACAAAGACGTCACGACCTCAGCGTTATGCTTCAACCGTCCTAGGCCGGGACCCCTCCCAGGCACTAGAGGCTGAATCCTATTCCTCGGCTCTGTCGTACACAGGACGGGGAGCAGCAAAGCCTCTCTTCCTTACTGCGTGCCGATGGCGAGCCCTTACAGCGCAGACATTCCCTGCCAGCTCCGTAGCAATACGCTTGCTCAGGGCAAGCAGTCGGTCACCCTGGCTCTCCACCCCGCACCCCCTCTCTCCATCCGCGGAATTCCCATAGGCGCACCACCAGTTGCAGACTGTAAGAGCAGGAAGGCAATGGAGTTTCACTTACTCTTTGAATACCTCCAAATAGCTGAGTTTCCACGCAGATTCCCTACTGGAGTGATGTCAAAGCTTCTCTGTTGCCAGACATGCAGATGTCATTCATAGAATCACAGAATGTTTTGGGTTGGAAGGGACCCCTAGAGGTCATCTAGTCCAACCCCCCTGCAGGAGCAGGGACACCGCTAACTAGATCAGGTCGCTCATATGTGACCCCAGCCTGATCAGCTATGAATATCTAAATTATTTGAACTCATTAAAAGTGGGGACCAAAGTACATCTGCAATTCATCTGCAAATGAAAAGGTTTTCAATAGATGAACAGTTTCAGAGGGAATCTCTGCAGGCTTAGCATCAGAAGCAAGCTTAAAGTTAATTTGTGTCAAGAGAGAAAGTTATCACCCTTCTAAAGTTAATCAGTCTTATAATCAGCCTTAAACTTAATGAGAAAACAAGCAAGCGCACCTGAGGTGCCATTCCTCAAAAGGAGTCTCGGCTGTGACTGACCAACCAGTACAGTATTTATTATGAAGGAAGAAAGAAAAATAATGCATTTACATTTGAGTGAGGTTTACAGAAAATTTATTACGGCTGATACACAACACAGGTTGTTCCTGCCAGTGTGAGTTTTGCATTCCTGAGGCAGCACAGTTCCTTCAAGTCAGAAGGAGAATAATTTAGTTTCGTTACTCAGCATGAAGGGTGATGGTTTTACTCTCTTTTTTTTGGTTTTGTTTCTAGACATTGTAACTTCAAGAAAGAAATCTGGCACCTCTTAGTTTCTCAGTACAACATCAGGCTGCCCTTTTTGAGTCCTCATATAGTTCTAAACTGGAAATGCACAGTCCAGGAAAAATGACAAACGGACAGGAAGGAAATTTATGGTTTCCTTTAAACTAACAACACGCTTCCCTGGAGTTAAACATAGCTGGAATTTGCCTCATTTTGCATGCAGTAGAGAATGCAGTGCTCTTACTGGCCCCAAAACCATGCTGCAATCCATCACGTTTCAGGCCACAAAGGTAGCTAAGGGATTAATTAGTTGTCTGAACTTCATTTCTGTGGCTCTAAGAGGTTACATTGTATGCTCATCTGACTACTACAGCTGGAGAGCTCCCATCCTTTTGTTACCAGAGATGAGGCACTTTTCTCACCTGACTGCTACGGTCTTAGAAGAGCACAACTTGCACCCAAACAATCACGGTTCCTCCGGGCCCGCAGCCAGCGACAGCGCAGACAGAGCTGGAGCTGTGTTGCTTTTCCCATAGAAACTGATGATGCCCCTTTCACACGCTACAGCCGACATTCTCAAAGCGCCAATAAACAGAGCCTCCCTCTCCTAGTAATAACAAACCCACAGCAAAACCACGCTCAATATACAGGAAAGCACATTTGAGCAGAAAAACTGTGGAATAAATTCAGCCCACAGCAACACCACGTTGTTCTTGATGATTTCACAGTTTTTCTAGTGGGGGAAACTGCCACTGCACTCCTTGACTTGGTGACTTCTTAGGGCCATTAACACTGATCTAACTTCCATTATTTCCAACTTGTCATTTGTTTCCCAGTGCCTGACTACATGAAGTACATTTTTGAGCTCTACAATAAACTATATGTATATTGTATTATATGTATATACGTATTAAGCTAAAGTAAAACTGACTGCATTTGCTTTTATAGCTACACTTGCGGTTACCCAAGTAATTGGTACAATCCAAGGTGTGCCTACAAGCTGTGTACCACTCATCAAGATTTTGCCTGATGTGTTTACAGATCAGATTTCTTACTATTTTTCTAAGTAATGGAAGTAGCAAGGCTTAGGTGACTGATCATTTGTTCATTTACTCTTTATCTGTCTCCAGTTCATTTCTTTATTTCTCTTCCAGTTTCTGCAGCTTGAAATCACTGGGGATGATTCCAAGATCTTTTCACCCTTATATATCCCCAAACCACACAGTGTTTTAACCAACTGCCCTCCCGCCCCCCACTCCCCGTTTACTTTATGGCAACATCACACTTGTTAAATTCATACAACAGCAACACCATCTTAACAATGTCATCAGGAGAGCAGCATAAATAAAAATCTCAGCCTATGCTTTAGTTCACTTTGTTCTTTCCTTCTCAGCATGCATTTGACACAGTGGTCCTCCTCAGTAAGGCAAATGGAATCAGTATGCTGTCACAGTCACAGAGAATACAATAATAATGCAATTTATTAATCAATTCTTTATGCAATAATTTAAAATGCGTATTTACTTGCTACTGAAAGGCTGCAGACGTAATTCCCAGTGTACTTACTGTTTAGCTATGGAACACTGAGAGGCCAAATATTAATACACAACAAACAGAGCAAGTCCCTGAACGTTTCCTCAGACTGAACAACGCACAAATGAGCTGGCAAATCTTGTCTCCAAAAGCTGTTGGTACTACTCATCATTTCTGTGATGCAGTTAACGACAGCGATACTTCAGGTGGTTTAAGTTTGGTCCCTAATGCATTTAAAAGGAATGAGAAAATAAACATTTGTTAAGTGGTGGAACTTTAAAGCTAGCTTTTTAAAACGGAGTAAAAACTTTTGCCCTGCCATTACTTTTCAACATAAAATGACCACACCTTCTCAGTGACTCACATAGAAAAATAATATAATCAACGAAACAGACTTGTAATCGCTTTGTACAGTATTATTTAACATTTAAATGTCCTATGGTCATCTTTATGCAGGTATGTAGGGACAGGTTATCCCTAATTCATTTTAGCAAGCAATACCTGTCACCAGTGCTGAGAATCCATCAAAAGATTCCCACATTAACAATGAATAAATCTGCTTCAGCTGCAACGCAGCACTTCTGGAAAGCACCAGACCTGATGAACTCCTCCACAACGCTTGACCGATACCCATCAGCCCTGTTCTGCGCTCACAGTAACTGGGCTTGAAGCTACACGCTACCCACTCCCTCACCTGTTTGCCAACATAACCACGTCTAGGACAAAACAAAAAACTGCAATGGGACACACCTCCTCCCAAATAGCTTTCTTACGCACATGCATTTTTGGACACACAACAGTTTCATCCTTGTAGGTTGCTGATTCGGGCAGGATGCTCATTTATATTGATAATTTTCAAAACCAAGTTTCGGACATCCCTCCTGGGCTGTAGTCGGGCACCCACCCGCGCTGCTCTCTGTACCACGCCTGCTCTGCGTTCCTACGGCCATCCGTGCGTTCTTGTTGATGTGCACACCTAAGGCAAGGCAGCAATTCCAGCCCAGATATTCCCAAATGGCTGAAGCTGAGAATACGAGCAAGCCTTCAAGGTGAGCCACAGCCTGACAGCTAGGACACAAATACTATCAACAGCTATTACGGCATCCTACCACAGCTACCTGTTTCTACGAGCCAAAAAGATATAAGTTTACCCAATTTTCTTACAGAAAGCATGAGCCAAAAGCTAGAGTATATTTATTGAAGAGGTGCCATACACAGCAGAATTTGCTCCAGCAATTTAGTGACACGTTACAGGATAAACAAGAGGAAAAGATATTTTTTCAATCTTTCCCATACAAGGATAGTGAAGAGACAGAAATCATAGAATCATAGAATGTTTTGGGTTGGAAGGGACCCCTAGAGGTCATCTAGTCCAACCCCCCTGCAGGAGCAGGGACACCGCTAACTAGATCAGGTTGCTCAGAGCCCCGTCCAACCTGGTCTTGAATGTTTCCAGGGAACTTCTTCCTTATATCTAGGCCAGGAATTAAAGAACTGAAGAATACAAGAGCAGGACCTCAGAG